CAACCAGATACTGGAGAAACATGTTATGTTTAAAGAGGTTAAGAGACCTGTTCCCATGAAACTGTTTTTTATTTTTTGTTATATTTATGTATATTTTTGTTACGGACAAGAGTCCATCTATCCATTCATTCACCAAACCGCTCAGAAAGCAACTTCCTTGTAAGACGCAGCGCCACACAAAATGGCAGCACTTGAGTTCAACTACCTCCGTATTATTAAAGTACAAAATGTTGAAAGTCTTTCTTTGAAAGGGGTCAGTGTTGTTTTGTAACAGCACACAGTACACTGAGTCACACACTTTTTTCTTTTAGCCAGACGTTTTACAATTTGTACAGCAAATTGGAGCAGCCAAACACTCCTGCAGCTGCTGCATAAGCTGCACCATATCAGCTTTCTGTGTGGACCAGAAGTCCACTCGGAGGGGATTTAATAAGCTGCGTGTGAGAGAAAAAAATGCATGAAAAGAACATTGACTGAATGAAATAAATAAAAGCTGGGCACAGCTCTCTGTTAAACTGAAGCCACTGTCTTTAACCTGTTTTTTAATTTTTCAACGAGTAGCAAGGCGCGACTGCTGTGGCTGAACAGAGAAATGTGAGTTTACAGAAACTAAAAGCATTTCCTTCAATTAGAAAGTTGTATCTGATTTAAAAGATAATTTAACATTTGACTTCAAAAGACATGAATGCATCATTTATCTGCTACATGTCTCAGTGCAAATATTTGTTGACAACAGCTGAACTTTAATGCAATATCATCAAATCACTTTCAATTATTTTGAAACTTATTTTTATTTGTCACTAGTATCTGTCTTTCTGAGTGCTGTTTTACCCAGACCCATGTCTGATGTTCAATCTATCTCTCGTTAAAGCTGATTTCATCATTGCAGCATCTATACTGTGCTCATTTTCCTTTCTTAAATTATAAAACCAGCTTTAATGAAGGATAGTGATATTTTTTTATCTATTGTTGCATTTTATTCTTTCATTGCACATAGGGTATTATGGAAGATGATTCATTATCTCTACTATATGGCCAGGATAAACATGAAACAGCTTTCTGATTACCGTTAAACTTATTCAATGAATCTTTAGCAAGGATGTGGTTTGTTTATTTTGCTGATGCATTAGTGGTAAAAAAAAAAAGAAGAATGATTTGAACTATTATGCTCATTCTGATAAATTCACTTCATTTTAATTCTGATCTGTTTCTATTGTGCTAATCTGGATAGATACGTTGCTCTTGTCCATATCTGATCCGGTTTTCTATTTTGATGTTTAGATCCTAACTTCAAAACAACTGAAGTAAAACTAACGGTCCCAGCCACAAGGAGAGGCATTCAAAGGAAACTGAGAGGCTGTACTTAAGTTTATGGTGACTTTTCTCTCACGCAACACATGTGGAGGCTGTTCCTCAGGAGGCAGAGGGGTCCTCCCCTGCAGGTCAGGTTACCTATAGCAGCCAAGGGCTAACCACTACCATCTGGCCTCACCTTCCATGTTCACTACAGCTCCAGGTCTGAATAGCTTCCACATGGCACTCTGCCATCTCAGATATAACTCGTATAAACACACAAATACAACGTGCACCAACTGGTGCAAGTACAGCCCATGCATTACTGGATGAAGAAAAAAAAAAGACACTTTGATAACTGCAGGGTTGTTTATGAAACATATTGAACAAACAAAATTTTACTTGTTAATATTAATAATTGTTTATAAAATACAAAAAGCTCAATGACAAAAAATGCTTTATTTTGGTGAAATGAGCAGAACTTTGCCATGAACATTCAGAAACACACAACTGATACACGCATTTACACTAAATACAAAGGTTAATTAACATGGAACACACACACACACACACACACACACACACACACACACACACACACACACACACACACACACACACACGTCCTATGTCTGCACAGATGCATAGATACGCTTACAAAACTGCAGGGGGTTCTGGGAGGGGGATGGGGAGAGACGGGCTTTAATCAGGAAATTCACCTCGAGGGGTTTCATCTGAGCAGGACTGGACGCTGCTCCTCTCTCTGCTTCACACAATGAATTGAATCACAGAGGCAGACTGTGTTTGAAAGCCCCAGTCTGCTGTCAATAAGGCTAATGCTAGCTCAGGTTCTTTATGTGCAGACCAATCTGTTTTATGGTGTCATATTCAGCATGTGGGCATGAAGAGGTGATGAAATGAAAACCGCCAAATATGTTTTCATTTACATACTAAATATCATTTGTTAAAGTCACTTTTTTTAACTGAAAGTGGGTTTGAGCTGTTCTTAAATATTTTCAGTAGACTTGATTCTTCTTTAAAAGCTTTGATGAGTTTTGAAAGACCAATCGGTGACACTTTACAGCAAGGGTCCCTTTGTTAATTTCTTTATTATTACTCAGCGCATCATTAAGCAAAATTAAACAAAATATCCCTTTATTAATTGTTAACTATTAAGTGTCCTTAAGGTTAGGACAAATGGGTATGGGGGGTGTCTGCTTAGTAATGCATAAATTACAATTAACATTAATATTAAGCAATTGTTCAATAGTTTATTATTGCTTAATAATGCACTAAGTTACATTGATAAAGGATCCCTTATTGTAAAATGTTACCAAAAATATATATATTTGGTACAATTAAGCAATGGTTCATCATACTGACAAATCTAACAGTCATGGGTTATTGTTCTTTTTATACAAACTACCTGCAAAGTTATAAAACTGTACCTAGTATTTGGCTCTAAACAGAAAGTGAGTATTCTCTTTTTTTAAAATATGTTCTTTTTGTTTTGGGTTAAGGTTAAATGGTCCCACATAAGTGGCTGAAGAAACCAAAGAAGTCCAGTTGCCTTCATTTGAACTCTTTGGATTGTTGTCATTGTATAACTATAGGTCGACAAATTGATCAAAATTAGAATAGATTGTAGTCTAATCTTATTTTGAGCATCTTAAGTATCCTCATGATACACAAGAACAAATATGCATGATAAATATAAAAAGTAAAATAAAAAAACATAGACAAACTAATACAATTTGTAAAATTACAGTGTTTAGACTGCTAAAACAGTTTTCAAAATGCACAATATAATTTTGCATGGTACAGATGCAGAACCAATTAAACAAGACAGCTGAATAATCTCAGAGTATTGTTCTGTGGATGGCTGTAGGAATGTACTGCCTACTGGGATAAAAATAATAAAATAAACAACCAATAATCAATAATGCACGCCTGTCTACAGGATGTGGTGACAACTAGCAACAAAAACTACCAACTGCGGCAAAGGGTGACAGCCATGTTTTTATTTGTCCATTTGCCTTTCACCAGAATGAAGCATGAGCTTGGTGCCGACACTGGAGAGAAACTAAAGTTTCTAGATTACAAACAACTATTTAAAAAGAAAGGGTTCCTATTTTTCTTTATTGTACCTGTTTTTGGAAACTTGATAAAGTAAATTCAGCTATAGTCATTGTGAAAGAAGTACTTCTCTGCATATCCATTCCAACTGGTTCACATTTTACATATGGGCCAGTTGAGTCGTCAGTCTTTTTCGTCTCCGTGTGAAATGCACAGATTTTGAAGACCTTTTACTTATACGCAAAGAAATTTGAAAACCATAAATGAAATATTTCAGCACAACTGGGTATTCAGTTAAGAAATCTCTCTAGCACCCCACTGCGCCTGTGCCCCAGAATGATTTGCTTCTCATAGGTTAACATTGCACAGAACAATAGCATCGGTGTCGCTGGGTGACAGCTTATCTGCCCCAGCTGAAACAGAAACAACATGCTCCGTCTCAGCTGTAATCTTTGATCAGCTAAAACACTTTCTGTGATAAACATTGACTCGATCCCCATGGGCAATCACTCTATAGTGCTGGCATCATGGGAGGTAATGTATGCACAGACGTGCTGAAATCGCCTCAGGTTCTCACACATACACAGTGTACACACAGTGAGATGAATTGCTACGCCATCTAGAATAAATACATATCAGCTACAGTGAGCTGAGGCGCTTTGCACTTTCCTATTAATCCTCAGCATGGTGATTTATTGCAGTGTGCTCGTCAACAGCCATATAGTCCCCTGAAACAGCGGCCAGCCAGGAGAAATGGAGGATTTTAAGACTAAGGCCCAGCAGCTGCTATTTATGTGGTCCACGATGAGGGTAAATATTGGATGCTTGAACAACAATATTTTGTGCAAGGAGGGATGGAGCTGTAGAATAATCTGTTCCCCATAATCCAAGTTTTAAATTGATGTCTTCTCCGATGTCACTGCTGTAGAGATTTGCATTTGCCAAGGTGAAAGGCCTGGATGCTCAGCAATCAGTTGTGCATGGCTAAGAGAATGCAAAAGGGTTCTTCTGTAGGTTATTTTTATACAGCGTGCACACGGCTGTGCATATTCAGCTCCGGGTGTTAACTCATTCATTTGATTAATATGATTCCCACTAAAAATTACAGAGCAAGCGTGAAGCTGACAGTTGGTAAAGAGCACCATCTAGTGGACATTCTTATACAGAGATGCTAAATATTTGAGTCTTCATCTGGAGCAGATGCTTCAAATAAAGCAGAACTTGTACCACTTAGTTACAGGAGGATCAAATCTCAAACTTAATAAAAAAATAAACATTAACAATGTGTATTTCCCCTGGCGATAGGGGGCATGAACTACTTTCATATGAAAACACATTTTTAGAAAAGGCACTTAGACCCACTCCCATGCATTTTAGACCTGATGTTTTATTCTTATATGTTACGAAGCTGCCAATGTATCAACAACTGGGCAATATTTAATTTTCAAAATCTTTGATGATATTTCCAGAGACTACCAGTAAAAACAACACATCGTCTCTTTAACATGGATCAAAATGTTTTAAATTCCTAAGGACCAGTTTGTTTTGTAACGAGAGCACATGTAATTTAGGCCAAATGTATTGGTTGTAGGAGTGTCAGTTATGTTTTCAAAATGTAACTGGAACCATAGTTGATTTTTGACCCAGTTTATTGTGAATTCCAACTGTAACAAGACAACATTTAGGAGAACTCACAGCAGGATCAGAGCACCATCTTTAACATGATGGGCACAAAGGACACTTGGAGGCTACAAACTAAAGTTTAAGGCCACTCCATATTTTCTTTGTTCCTTGAGGTTCTGCAGAGGCTGAGGCTCTTCGGAGACAATGAAGGATCACATCATAATTTCTTACAATTGATACTGGGCACACGTTGAATGAAAGAATGAATGGCTTCACACATATGAGGACATCTTTTTAAATTTTATCAGTTTTTCAGAAAAGTGTATTAATACCACCATAACTGACATCACAAATGTTTTGGGTTCACCAACATAGGTCATCTTTATCTCCTGTTTTCACACCAGCCTCTCTAAAATGATTGACCAACATGTTGGCATGCTTCTAATTCAGCACAATTACACAAGACTGAACATTGAATGAAACTTTGTGTCTTAATGGTCCTTTGGTGAGCAGTTTATTTCCATTACAGAAGACCTCTCAGTCAGATTGCCTGTTACAGGGTAAAAGCTGTGGTAAACAACAGCTAGATGGCGGTGTGAGGCAGTGTTTGTAACAAAACCCACTCCCCTCTTCCCCCACAATACACCCATCTGGCCATCTCCTGTACACGTTCCTTATTCTGTCACCTTCTGTCTTCCCCATTACGCCTTCTGTTTCTATTCCTCCCTCCTCTACTACCTCCATCTCTGACTCCCCCTCCACATTGCCACAGCTTTGCTCCGTTCTTTACAGACTGGCCACAGCCTGTGTATCTCCTCCAGAGGTTAGGAGCTGCATCAGGCTTCCTGAAGCTGGCCGGTTCTCCCCTGTGGCCCAGCCGAAGAACATCCTGCACCCAAACAAAAAGAGAAGCACTGTTCAGGAGGTTTACTCACACAGACAAAGCAATAAAACGCCAAATTAGGGTTAAGCTTTTTGGTAAAAAAAAAAAAAAAAAAAAAAAAAATCCAAGAAGAAAAATAGTAACATTTCCATAAAGACAATTCTAGACACTTTGGTATACAAAGCCAACTGTATTTGATGCTATATTAGCAGTATGTTTAGATATAAGAATGGTAAAAGGCTTGTATTTGTATTGCACCTTTGTAGGGTTCTACAACCCCCCAAGGCACTTTACAACACAATCTGTCATCCACCCATTCACACGCTGGTGAAAATGAGCTACAATGTAGCCACAGCTGCCCTGGGGCACAATGGTGGAAGCAAGACTGCCAAGCACTGGTGCCATCAGTCCCTTCGATCACCGCCAGCAGGCAAAGCGGGTTAAGTGTCTTGCCCCAAAGACACAACAGCAGCATTCTCTGACACCGGGATTGAACCTACAACCTTCTGATTACTAGACAACCCGCTGTACCTCATGAGCTACTGCTGCCAATAACATGACTGATTGTGACATATTTACATATTTTAGCCATAATTCTCAGGCTGTTTAAATGGATTTACGTGCAAACATCTTTCATTATGAATGGATTGGAGATCACATCAGAAACTATGACTTTAAACTTGAGTTTCTCTTTTTTCTGTGTTATTTCAGTCCAGGGATAGACTGATATACTGGTCGGCTGATATATCTGGCCAATATTTACTTTTTATATATATATATATATATATATATATATATATATATATATATATATATATATATATATATATATATATATATCTCAGCATCAGCCAATATACCTCTTTAGAAGAGCTCATTTAAAAACAGGCCCACCTGTGGGCAGCATAGGACTTCTGCTGAATTCTATTTAAATGTATATTTATGTTCCAGAAAAGAAATCTGCTTGATAAATGCTTCGTCTTCGTCTTCCTCCGCTTATCCGGGTCCGGGTCGCGGGGGCAGCATCCCAACTAGGGAGCTCCAGGCCGTCCTCTCCCCGGCCTTGTCCACCAGCTCCTCCGGCAGGACCCCAAGGCGTTCCCGGACCAGATTGGAGATGTAACCTCTCCAACGTGTCCTGGGTCGACCCGGGGGCCTTCTGCCGGCAGGACATGCCCGAATCACCTCCCCGGGGAGGCGTCCAGGAGGCATCCTGGCCAGATGCCCAAACAACCTCAACTGGCTCCTTTCGATCCGGAGGAGCAGCGGTTCTACTCCGAGTCCCTCCCGAATGTCCGAGCTCCTCACCCTATCTCTAAGGCTGAGCCCGGCCACCCTACGGAGGAAACTCATTTCGGCCGCTTGTATCCGCGATCTCGTTCTTTCGGTCATTACCCAAAGCTCATGACCATAGGTGAGGATTGGGACGTAGATCGACCGGTAAATCGAGAGCCTGGCTTTCTGGCTCAGCTCCCTCTTCCCCACGACAGATCGGCTCAGCGTCCGCATCACTGCAGACGCCGAACCAATCCGCCTGTCGATCTCCCGATCCCTCCTCCCCTCACTCGTGAACAAGACCCCAAGATACTTAAACTCCTCCACTTGAGGTAGGACCTCTCCCCCGACCCGGAGGTGGCAAGCCACCCTTTTCCGGTCGAGAACCATGGTCTCAGATTTGGAGGTGCTGATCCTCATCCCAGCCGCTTCACATTCGGCCGCGAACCTACCCAGCAAGAGCTGAAGGTCAGAGCTGGATGAAGCTAGGAGGACCACATCATCCGCAAAAAGCAGAGACGAGATTCTCCTGCCACCAAACTCGACACACTCCACACCACGGCTGCGTCTAGAAATTCTGTCCATAAAAGTGATGAACAGAACCGGTGACAAAGGGCAGCCCTGGCGGAGTCCAACCCTCACTGGGAACAGGTCCCACTTACTACCGGCTATGCGGACCAAACTCACGCTCCTCTGGTAAAGGGACTGAATGGCCCTTAACAGAAAGCCACCCACCCCATACTCCTGGAGCGTCCCCCACAGGGTGCCCCTGGGGACACGGTCATAAGCCTTCTCCAAATCCACAAAGCACATGTGGATTGGTTGGGCAAACTCCCATGCCCCCTCCATCACCCTTGCAAGGGTATAGAGCTGGTCCACAGTTCCACGGCCAGGACGAAAACCACATTGCTCCTCCTCTATCTGAGATTCAACTATCGATCGGACCCTCCTCTCCAGTACCTTGGAGTAGACCTTTCCAGGGAGGCTGAGGAGTGTGATCCCCCTATAGTTGGAACACACCCTCAGGTCACCCTTCTTAAAGATGGGGACCACCACCCCGGTCTGCCACTCCCTAGGAATTGCCCCCGATGACCACGCAATGTTGTAGAGACGTGTCAACCATGACAGCCCTACAACATCCATAGCCTTGAGATACCCAGGACGAACCTCATCCGCTCCCGGGGCTCCGCCGCTGTGTAGTGGTTTGACTACCTCAGCAACTTCTGCCCCCGAGATCGGACAGTCCATCCCCAGGCCTCCCAGCTCTGGTTCCTCCTCGGAATGCGCATTGGTGGGATTGAGGAGCTCCTCAAAGTATTCCTTCCACCGTCCGACTATAGCCTCAGTTGACGTCAGCAGCTCCCCATCCCCACTGTAAACAGTGTGAGCGAGTTGCTGCCTTCCTCTCCTGAGGCGCCGGACAGTTTGCCAGAACCTCTTTGGAGCCGATCGATAGTCTTTCTCCATGGCCTCACCAAACTCCTCCCACGCCCGAGATTTTGCCTCGGCAACTGCCACTGCTGCACCCCGCTTGGCTATCCGGTACCTGTCTGCTGCCTCCGGAGACCCACAGACCAGCCACGCCCTGTAGGCCTCCTTCTTCAGCCTGACGGCTCCCCGAACCTCTGGTGTCCACCAGCGGGTACGGGAGTTGCCACCACGACTGGCACCGGCCACCTTACGACCACAGCTAGCAACAGCCGCCTCGACAATCGCAGAGTGGAACAAGGCCCACTCGGACTCAATGTCCCACCCGATTCGCATTGCACCGGACCCTTCATGTTCCTCCTGCGGGTGGTGGGTCCACAGTTGGACGAGCCCATGTATCCGGTTCGGGCTGGGCCCGGCCACCAGGCGCTCGCTCACGGGCCCCAACCCCAGGCCTGGCTCCAGGGTGGGACCCCGGTAACCCTCCGGGCCGGGTACTCCGACTCTTCGTTTTAACCGCCATGAAAGATCCTTCGAACCGTTCTTTGTCTCACCCTTCACCTAAGACCAATTTGTCATGGGAGACCCTACCAGGGGCACTAAGTGCCCCAGACAACATAGCTCCTGGGATCATTAGGGCACTCAAACTCCTCCACCACGATAAGGTGACGGTTCAAGGAGGAGTTGATAAATGCTCTAAAAGTTTATCAACAGTCATTTTTTTATTTTCCCATTTTGTATAATTAATACTTGGTTTGTTTCGTAATTTGTTTGATCAACTTTGATTAAATGTTTTATTTCAACATTGAGCAGTTCACAAACATCAGATTAAGGACTTGGTTAATTCAGAGTTCAACAACTGACTTAGGTTCAGAGATGTTATGCATCAGTTGCTATTAGTGACATTTAACATGCACTCAAAAATATGAGAGGGTGCTCGCTGCAGAACTACAAAGGCGGAGCTGCACCATAAGGTGGAGTTGCACCAGAGTCAGCCCCGCCCATTCACGCAAACTCAGCCTAGCCCACTGACTTCCGTTTTTGTTTTTCAACTTTATCGCAAACTAACCTGACTCTCATGAATTACGGCTGTTACTAGTTTACAGTCGTTAATGCTATGTTCTGTGCTCCAATTAAACAAGATAAATATAACTTGCTACATGACAAAGTCTGAATATATCCCGAAAGGAAAAGGTTTCTTTTAGCGAATATCTGCCCACAGCCGCTCCAACAAAAGTCCTGTACAACAACATTTGACATTATTATGTGAGTTCTGGTAGTCCAGTGGCGAGATTGTTTGACTTAAGTTTTGCTTTCCCCTCAGCTGATGCTGGTTCGGTTCTCGGTGGGGTCGGCAACAATCTATTTTGCCAGCTGAAACATTTAATTTGTTCATATTTTAGTTGTAATGTTCATTTTCAGCAAAATATTTATGTCTCTACAAGTTCTTTGAATTTGGTCGTTCCTAAACAGCATTTTAGTTGAAACTCTGCTCACAAATGGACTCACACTGGCTAAATAAACGAATGAATAAATAAAAAAACACATTAGTCATTATATGTTAAACGGCATACCAATAAATTGTTGTAAACATAGTACTGGCAAGTGTAGCTAGAAATGAGGAAAAGGGGTTATAGAATATTTACACTACTGGGAGGCAAACCTGCGCAAAACTGCATGTCAACCTGACACCATAACCACTACACCACCACATCTTATAATACTTGTGTGGCGTTGCATGTTATTGTGCCATCCAGTGTGTCTTTGTAGACGGGATGTATGATTTTTCTGGCGGTGTCTCAGTAGAAGTCATTTCAGAAATAATTTGTCAGAAAATTCACAGAATATCCAGATTTGAGAACCAAGACCAGACCCGCTTCGGGGGAGGAGACCAAATTGAAGCTGAGATGGGAAGAAACTGCATGAATGAGGCCAAAAATGGCTTTGGCGTGTTTCGTATGAGGAAATGACAATATAACATGATTAAAAGTTCCAAAAGTTAGATTTTTAATTATATGGAACCTTTACAAAAACTGTTCAATTCACTTCTCAACTCCGTCCCCAATCCTGCATTTTTTAGCTATAACACCCTCTTTGGTTCCAGAATGCTATAAAGTCTGACAACTGGAAGGAATTGGACTGACTCTGATAGAATGGGCGGGGCTGATTCTGGAATGGGTGGGGCTGACTCTGGTGCAGCTCCACCTTCTGGTGCAGCTCCGCCTTTGTGGTTCTGCAGCGAGCACCACTTGAAAAATATTGGCTGTACATATGAACCATCGGTTGACCAGCACCTCTACAGATCACTGGTATTGGCTATAGAAAACCCCATATCAGTCAGTCTAATAAATATGACACATGCTGTCTGATTCAGGTTAAAAAGAAAACAACCTCATATGAGATAAAAGATCTTAAATTAGTAAAAGCTGTCAAGTATTTGGGAAAAAAGTGTGAGTGGAAAGTTAAAAAAAAAAAAAAAAAAAAAGATAAATCTCTTCATTCATAAAGTTGACTTCCATTTCAGCCTCCAGACCATCATCAGAGATAATCAAAGTGCAACACTTATTGTTCTTTTAGAGGGATTAACAGATGAGCTACACTCAAACCTGCATTAAAAATGTCTATTGTGTTATGGTGACCTAATATTTCAAAGGCCATCCTGATTTTACTAAAGATGATAAATCTGTGACCAAGCATCACAAGAGACCCATAAAGCCTCATCTAAATAATGTCATAAATAATTCCATAAATAATGCAAATGAGATGTTGTATTCTGTGCTTGTGTGGACTTAGTTTTGAGCTGAATAATATTTATTCTGGTGTTTCAGATAACTACTGAAAACGATACATATTTCTGTGATGAAAAGCATCAAAGTGGAGCTAATGATTATGAGGATGGTGGTGATGGCATGAGTCTAAATAAATCAAAGAGCCTGCAGGATGGACGCGGAACTATCTGAAAGAAATTGAATTTCCCTGCCCATGGCTGCATCGATGAGAGAGAGTATAAATCAGCCATAGAAGGCCATGCTGTAGAGTCAGCAGGGGGCCGTTGTGATCAAAGGCAGGAGGAACCACAACAACATCAGAGGATGAAAGACACTTGCTATCAGGCTCTCAGATCTACAAAATTCAAGTAAAATACTTATTTGTAGTTTAAGTTGGTCTCTTAATGTCCACTGCTCTGGTAATGTAGATTTTATGCTTTTAATTAAATTTTCAGTCAACAAAAAGAATAAACCATTCTCATTTAACTGCATTAATATCCCCGTTAATTCACAATGAAATAAAGATTATAAACATCATCAGTGGATGTTAACTGGATAACAATTAAAGCTGCTATAGCGAATGTACAGAACAAGATTTAGGTTTTAAATGCAAACACAGTCACAGAACGCTCATCCTTCCCCTTGGGTGTCTTCCCTATGGTGTTTCTGCTGGAACCGAAAACCTGTGATGCTGAAGGAAACAAGATTTTGCTAAACACCACTCAGTGTTTTCTAGGTCCAAACGTCTTTAGTTACCCATGACTTCAAATGGTGTTTTTCTTTTTGAGACTTTGGTGGTTTGTCCTAAAGTCGAAGTGGTAGTAGCCGGCTGGCTATCCTTATATTATTGAGTAGAGAACCTCTCACACCAGTGGTGTTTTGTTGCTAAATAAGTGAGTGTGTTATTAATTGAGGACCCAGGGAAGGGTGAAAGTGAGGTGGTTCGGCGAGAACAACCAGATGGTCCTAAAGTTGCTTTTAGTTCAAAATGTGTTATTGGCAGAGGTTTATAAACAAATACGAGAGAGACACTTTGTTCTTTTATCTCTACAATATATTTATAGCTATACTATGTTAGAACATTGATAATAGGCATGAAAAAAGGTCTTAAGCCAATTTGTTTTCTAAATTTGCCATTGTAGTTTGAAGAGTTGTATTTGAAAAACAATTTAACTCATTCACGTCCATTTACGACTCACCATATGTGGTAATTTTAAATACAACCGCTCGCTGCCATTGACGACTAAAGACATCAAACGCTATTCTTAACAGGGCAGGCTTGGGAACAAGCTTGCGCATCTTGACAGTAAACATCACGCCTCTAAAGTTGATTTTCACAAGCAGAATATCCATGAATTAGGAGATTGTTTTAGGATGCTGCTATGTCTAAAGCAAGGCGCAAACCGGAAAAACTTCTGCTGCTCACACTTCGACAACAGATTGTGAAAGAACAGAAGAAGCTAGAAACACGCTGCTTATTCCTGAAGTAAAAAGCAAGTCTTTCTTTTGGTAGTTTGGGGTTTCCATGGTCATAGATAATATTCTAGGACTCTTCAAAAAAATGGTAAAAATGAACAAAAGCGCTGGCAGTCAGGAGCTTTCTGACCAGATAACAGCTGGCAGTTAATGAGTTAATAAGAATTGCCCAACAACATGCAAAGTTTGTCACATTTGATACTAAAGTAATCAATGATCTGAATAAACCAGTGCAACAGACAAAAAACTGCATTATATAACAATTTCAGAGCCTTAAAGGGAACGTGAAAGGAAGTATGGTTTTTGCTTCATTACTCACTGTGCAATGTAGTCCAGCGGTGTCCATGAGCTGAAGTCTGCGTTAGGCATGAACTTCCTGTTCATTGGCGTATCCAAGGTAACGCTGCCAAATGAAGCAAGATAACGGTCGGGGTGAGTGGCTGCGTCAGAGCAGCAGAGGGGAAAACAGAAGAAACACTGCAGCCTCTCCACACAAACAACCACAAATAAGATGTTTTATCTTTATAAATTACCGTATTTTCACGACCATAGGGCGCACCGTGTTATAGGGCGCAGCTTCAGTTACGGGTGTCTTTTTGGTATTTAACACATACAAAAAGCGCACCGGGTTACAGGGCGCGGGCACGGTAAAACGTACCGGTAAAACATCTGTGCGGGCTGGGACTCGGAACGTATCAGTGCAAACCAGACATTGCGAAAATTATAAACAGCCAAAAGCATGCTTCACTTTACTGGTCTAGTCCTGGTTCAGACCTGGTTTAGAGCGCACGTGCACTTCCTCATTGCGTGCGTCGACGGCTCGTGCTCTTTTAATGTGCTCGACACACGGGAGGCAACTTCGCCTCTCCTCCATTCATTTTCAATGAGACATGCGCGACAAAGCGATAATCGCAGGTCTCCCTCCTACTAAAGCCGGGCGTACACCGGGAGTGCTGCAGGAGGACACAGGGATGGATGAGGAAAACGAAATAAAGAAAGTAAATCTGTGTTTTGTGATCAGTTTAATTTGACATGAACACGACAATGTTCATTTCAATGTGAGTAAAAAGTGTGTAGAAATAAAAACGAACAGCGTGTGTTATTAGGGAAATAGTGGGCGAGCGTGTTGATGCATGACTGCGCATGCGCCGAGAGCGGTTCTTTTACTTTTTGGGTCGCAGCTGCTTGCAGTGCCACCTCAAGCGCTGATGCGCTGTGTTGAAGTTCAGAATGTGTTTACCGGTAGTTGGTGGATTTAACTACATAAACTTTCCACATGAACAAAATCATATGTGTGTTATTAATAGGCCTAAGAAAATAGTGTGATTTGAATTGTGTTTCATTAACCCTCTGGGGTCCATGGATGCGTATCCGCGTCTTTCGAACAGGCCTGATTTGGGATGTTGTATCAGCAAGACTCCGCCTCCCTGAGTTTCGGTTTCAATTCAGCTTTAAAAAGGAGATCATAAACTACACCCCAGTTTTTAAATTTTGTTAATAGGCAACGTAAAAGCGGAATTATACTAAACTAAAAAAACAACCCATTTTTAGACAATCTGACAACTTGTCAAAACAACAGTTTAGTAATCCGTGAGAGGGAATGTGCTTGTGAACATAAACCCCCCCACAAAAACATGAGATCCTTGTGCTGTTGGTGGAAGTCTCACATATTCAATTGATAAAAAGTATCATTATGTAGCTGAGAGAGAGAGGAAGTCTGCACGAGGAAAGGAGTGGTGCGAACGGAGTAACAACAAACAATTAGACAGATGTTGATGGTAAACTTCATATTTTGGAGCGATCCGGACAGATATATTGTCTCTGCAGTTTAGTAGGCTTTTATTAGGCTTTAATAAAGGATGATGACAAGGATAAATGTCCACCAGGCAGTTCAGATAGTACGGCTGTTATTTGAACTGGAAGCAGAGGAAGTGGACGGAGACTCACAGCCGGAGTCTGAGGCAAATAGCGAGGATGATGATGATGTGGCAAATCCACAGGTCTGTCTTCGCTCACATCCGCACGTTCACGCCACGCCCCTTGTCTTCTACTACGTTCGCGTCTCACAACAACACAATAGGCGCACCGCACCATAGGGCGCGGTGTACATTTTGGAGAAAATTCAAAACTTTTAGGTGCGCCTTATGGTCGTGAAAATACGGTAAATGAAAATAAAGTATTTTAATGAAAACAAAAATAAAAAAAGAACATATGGTGAGAAGACAGTTTGTTCTAGTAGAAATCATCTCTAAAGCATCAGAATATTGAAAACCTTTTCAAAAATGCTTAAAGGAGTGGTTGATTTGTTTAATCAATACATTTGCAGCAGTCTCTAGTAGGAATTAATGCCTTGTAAGTTGTTAAAGGGAAAAAATACACCAGTGCAAATTTATCTCCACAAATACAAGCCTGGAGGAGTTTCTGCTGAGTGGTGGTGTTGCTAATGTTAACGGTTAACTTCTACCAGTCGAGATGTTCCAAGCTGTTTCCTGGACTCTAAACCCACAGCCTTCCCCATCTTGAGTCGAGATGGGTGAGTCCATGAATGTTGAGTGACAGTATGACGTAGATCTATGTATTATGTCCCCGGCTCTCTAGGAGAGATGAGGAGGGGGGTAATAAAATTGGTGTGTGGGTTAAACAATAACAGAGTCCAGTGTCGCTTATAAAACAAGAGTTTATTACAAAAAATGAGGGAATATTTACAAAGGATCTTAACAATACTATATACAAAAACAAATGAAGCTACATTCAAAAAGGAGATACGAAAAACGCCACCCCAGAAGGGGGTGGGAGTTTAACAACTGAGAATATAAGTATATAAATACAAAAGGGGAGATCCGAGGTCAAAAGTCTAAAGCCGGTCCGAAGTCAAATTACCAATGAGTCTAATCCTAAATCCAAATCCAAAAAACGAGACAAATACCAAAGTCTAGTGAGCGAACCAAATATTATCTACAGAGCAACTGAGGAGAAGAGAATAGCATAAACTGTTACTAGTCTACACTACCCTTGGACCTTCTCACTGAACTGGAGGCTGGGAGCAGCTTTTAACAGCTGCCAAGTGCTCATCACTGAGTGGAAACAGCTGGGCACCGGAAGACAAGCAAGCCATAAACCACTGAGGCCATCTTGTGGCCGAAAAGGGGCACGGCACGTAACATATGAGGATTTTCTAATCCTAGCATTTCATCGTCTGTTTTCTATCAGAAGCTAATGCAGAAGATAGGTGTAGGAGACAGTTTTCATGTCCAGCCTGCATGAAAAACTCTGACTGATTATAATCAGAATTAATCATTAAAAATGTTTTTCAGTGTTCCACACCTTTAAGATTGAGCAGGAAATTCACACTATTAAAAATGTGTGGTTTAATTGTTTATTCAATACATTTGCAGTGTTCTCTAGTGTAAATCAATGCCTTATAAACAGTGTTGGGAACGTTACTTTTAAAAAGTAATTAGTTTTAGTTACTGATTACTTTGTCAAAAAAGTAACTCAGTTACTTACCGAGTTACAAGATTATAAAAGTAACCAATTACCGAGAAAAATAACTACTTAATTTTTTCATTAAAGAATACAAGAAAAATGGGTTCCCCTCTTAATTAAACTTACTTAATCTACTATAAATTACTACAATAGTAAAATATAATTGACTAATGACTGGAACATAATAAAATGTATGTCCAAATGTTTTTAATAAACCTGAATAATTTAAATAAATTAGCACTTAAAAGAATGAACTACTAACATGAACATTACACTAATCTAGACTATTAAAAGGTCACTGTGTGATATTTAGCAAGACCCCATACAGCTAAAATTTTAAGTTGCAAATAGAAATACCTGTAAAGGTTCATGAGCCTTTAAATGGTCTCTCAGTCTAGTTGAATTACAGAAATAAATGCAATTTTGCACAGTATTTTAATTTTCCCAGCTTCACATAATTGTGTGTTTTTAGTAGCATTTCTGTTGCTGGTAATCTAGTAAAGGTTAAATAAATAAATAAATAAAATAAATATGCTAAAAAAATGACACTAGAAGAGGCACAAATCTGATGGAGGACTTACATTTACTAACTTGGGTCAGACCCAAACACAGAAGAGCTGAAGCTGGGTGGTAAACACACACAGGTAGTTCTGATAACACCTGAGCTCCATGACGTCTGAGACTGATGCATCAGTGTTACAGCGGGACTAAAGACATGATCAGAAACAGGTTACAGCTGGATGATCTAGGAAGGCAGAAGATTGTGACGTCTGAGCAAGAACAGGTGAGCGGACCTTCGGGAAGTCCCGCTGTCACTAAGAAGGCTGATCCACATCTGGAGCCGTAGAGTATTCATCACGTCTTCCTCGTTCTTTGCAAGCCGTAACGCTTGGATGAAAACATCTGCCTCTTTAGCTCATGATCAGCTGATGACAGCTTCAACACACCACGCTGCTTAACGCATGCATTTTCTTATGAGTAACAGAAATGACGTTTTGATAAAAGACCGTATTTAATTAGTAACTCGGTTATTTTAAACTGCGTTATTCCCATCACTGCGCTCTGTTGTGTCTACAGCAGGCAGTGACTGAGACGGTGAGAACACTGAGGGTCGCCGCCCACCCGGCCAATCATCATCGTGTTTGTAAGTGCGTTACCGACACCTCTCTCTCCCTGGCTGCAGCTGAATTGTGGCAGTCAGAAAGTACATAGTAACGCACAACCTTCCGTCCCCAGTAACGGTAATGGTGTTGCAACAGTGGGAAAAGTAATTAATTACATTATTCCATTACCTAAAAAAGAACGCAGTTAGTAATGCCGTTATACTTAAACGTTGTTACTCCCAACACTGCTTATGAATAATAAAAAAAGGTAAAGTCACTATGAACACCACACTACCCGCTCTCTCCTCACTGCAAATAAAATAAAAAAAAGACTTAAGAGTTAAGATGGATGTGATCATTAATGCAAATTCAGTGTGACATCATGGTGTGAGGATTTTCAAATCCTAGCATTTCACCATCTATTTCCTGTCAGACGTTAACGCAGGAGATAAGTGTAAGACTGTTTCATGTTCAGCCTACATTAAAAACTCAGTGACCGATTATAATCAGAAATAATTTAAAATAGTTTTTCAATCAAGCACGCCTTTAAAAGAAATTTAACTGAGGATGTTAGTAAGTACATTTTATTTATATAGCACTTATCACAAAAAGAGAATCACAAAGTGTTTCACAAAGAATAAAAATAACAAACTACCCATAAAGTCATAAAATCATAACAATCTTAAAAATAAAACTGCTAAATATCATAAAATGTTGGGCTGCAGCCGCAACAAGAAATGCAAGTCATGGCTAATGTTAACCAGATGTGACAGGATTGAAGAGACTGAGTGTGTGCGGCCTCATGCTGAAGTAACATCTAGCCAAAGAGAGCGCAGGAACCAGATCCACCCCTGAATACACTCGTCTCATGATGACTGTGCAAAAAGTGGTTCATGCTGTGTGTTTAAACCAATTACGCACACAATTAAAGACCTGTGGGAGGCATTTGGCATCCCTAATCATCTTTTATTTCTTCACCAAGATTACACACACACACACACACACACAACAGAAAAATATGCATATGATTAATTTTCCTGCACAGCAGCATTGATCCTCAGCTGTGTGCATCACTCTTGGATTTAGAGATCAAAATGAGTACACAATGTGCTCCAACTAGAAAATTTTATGTAACCCACATAAAATGGGTGTGCCTCTTTAAGAGATTTTAGAGGCAGAAGAGACTGACTGCCTCCCAACCAAACACAGTGTAGCTATTACTTCAGCTGAACCAGTAGTGTCATTAGTTCCCCTGCAACCTAGCCCCCCTGCAACTGAATCCCTTGTAGGAGACGAACCTGAGGGCTTAACTCAGGGTGTATGTAATGATGACCACATCGAACATGAAAACTTACCCGATTTAGCCAACTCACCTGAAACAGGCAGTTTGCTCGTGTTGGACTCAGTTACCGAGCTCCCACAGAGTTCAGCTCGGCAGGAGTCCGAGGAAACTGCTCCAACTAATGAGATGAACTCTGATGCAGCATGTGATGGACTGAGCGGTGTGAGAAGAGTGGTTACTTCTCAGCCTGAACCCTTGCACATTCATCAGGAAGTATGTCCCGATGATGAACCACCTATTTGTCGCTCTCAAAGAGTGCATGCAGAACCCAAAAGATTGCAGTATTCACAGCTTGGAAATCCTTTGATGATGGTGGTGAATTCCCTTTTCCGTGGCCTTAGTGAAGCTTTGGCAATTACTTTGAATGGATCTGAGGACAAGATTGGCAACTGTGCTGGAGTTGTTGAAGCTGTTGTTGGGGTCCTGCCCTCATGAGAAAATTACTACGCAGTATTTTCTCCAAAAGACTGTGCCATCTACGCCCTGAAGCGTAGACAAATAAGGCATATTGAGATCAGCGCCAGCAGGGACTCCATGTCCCATGATTCCCTGCAGCCGGCAGCAGCTTGATGATGTCATCACGCGATGCCAAGTCTGACCGGCCCCTACAGAGAGCTGCCTGCTGGACGAGTCTATAAAGTTAAGGCGCAGAGCGGAAATCTTCCTCTTCCTGTCCAGTTCATCTGGTGAAAGGAGACCCCCCCCCCCCCCCCCCCGCCTCTGCTCGTACCACTCCGGACAGCGTGTGCTGAGGCCTAGCTGCTGAGATCCACGGACCGGCGCCATCTGATCTGCTCAGCCCGAACACGGAGGGATGCCTTGTGTTCGTTCATTCAAGATTTTTTTTCCTTTTTCCTCTCTTTCTCTCCCGCTTCTCTAATAGTCCGAAACAAGCGGTCGACCACGTGACTGCTTTAAATTAACAAACGGTTTCTCTCTTCCGTACTAAAAACGCCAATGAATCATCTCAAAGTAAGCTTCGTTCCTTTTATTGTTTAATATCCAAGTTTGTTTATGCTGTGGCCAGGCTGACAGACTGTTTAGATATGTACTTTGCCTTTATGACTGATCTGTTGTTTTTTTTTTTTCTTGATCTTTGTGGAGCGATTTGAAGTGTTTTGATTAAGTTTACTGTGAACGTGTGCTCACACACACCCAGTTCGATCCTTTGGTCAGCCAAACAAAGGATCCGCCATTTTGTTTCAAAACTCCCTCCATTTTGGTAATCAGCCTATCTCTGCCTGATTACATCATCAAGCAGCCTCACCATTGCTGGATCACATAACCGCCTCATCCCACCGGTCTGATTAGATTGTTATTTCACATTATCCATGCTTTCGTTCTTTTTTAAACACAGAAACAGTTTTGTTTACCTGTTTGTAGCTACAGTTTCGCCGACAGCTGCCGGCTTCTTCAGGCTGACAGCCTGTAGCTACAAACAGGTAAACAAAACTGTTTCTGTGTTTAAAAAAGAACGAAAGCATGGATTTAGAAAGACACAGCAAGAACGCACCTAAGAATTTCACATTATCATTCCATGGTTTCATTGCTTGTTGTTTGTTTGATAAAATCAGTTGGTTGATATTGATTGGCTAGCACTTTGAAGGAGCTGAAGTGGTTATATTAGTTAATAAATGTTATTGCCAATTAAGTATTGTCTCAAGTGAATTTGTCTGTGTTGGATAGAATATGACCACTGCTCATTAAAAGAATTTTATGAACATTAGACAGATTGATAGAGGTTTGGATTCATTTTTCCCCTATTAAAGGGGTGGTGCCCCGAGGTATATCCACGGATATCCTAATTACGTAATAAATCGGTAAATATTTCCATATTTACGAATTTTATTGATGAATCCAAAAAGTAAGTAAAGCTTACAAATTATTTGTTGGCTAATAACCACAACACTGTGTGATGTAGTGCTAAACTGAGAATGCCCAGGGACGGGCATATCATCAAGAGGGGAGGGTGTAACCCACATAAAATGGGTGTGCCTCTTTAAGAGATTTTAGAGGCAGAAGAGACTGACTGCCTCCCAACCAATCACAGCACATAAACTCTGTGAAATAACCAACTGGAACGCAGCCCCGGCGTCTCGTCCCGCCCATTAACGGCACTGCTGAGTAAAGTCTCCGAGTCGGGTGTCGCGCGGCTGGGAGGAGTGCCGTGATGTTCCAGACCGTTAAAACAACAAGAATGGGAAAAACAAGCCTGAAAAAACAAAATCGTTTTTTGTGTTGAAAAAGAAGAGTGAAAAGGTTAGACTGAGAAGTGGCCATTTTATTTTATTTTACTTAAAGCTAGCTAACCTGCTCTAGCTAACTTTTCATCTGAAGTTCATCCTGGTTGCTTTCAACGGCAAGGTAAAACTTGTTCATATACTGTTTGGTTATCACGTTCACCGTGAAAGTTCATTATTTTGTAATTGCAAAGTGGAAAACATGTTAGGTTTAGAACTCCCCGTGGGTGATTTGAGAGCTGCCTCACCGTGCAGTCCAGCCTGTTAAGCACTGGCATCATTGAGCGAATCTTATGTCCAGTTGTTTCAATATGTTTGCACTTTATTGTTAAAAAAGGGCTTATTTTGAATATTTGTATTAACAGTGGATACATTGAAATGTTTGGTATTATCTTTCGGAAATAAAGAGGGTTTGTTTTTGATTTCTACAGAGTTTGGATAACAATTTATGCAAATGCATAAATTATTTAAAGCAAAAGTGGTTAAGTCGGAGTTTAAAATTATCTTTTGATGTCAAAAGGGATATCTACACATTTTATGATTGTAAACAATATGGATGATATTGGCATTGTTTCTTTGATCCTGTCTATTGACAGGTCAGGTTTTCTTTGTGCATGACGGAGTGTTCCAGGAGCGGATTCCTCCGATGATTTGATAACGAGCCTTCCCACCCGGACGTAGAGACATTCCCATTCGTTCCATTGTGGAATGTGTGCTGCACCCAGCAGTGCGGTAGGAAGTATCCATCATACCTTCACACGTGGCTGGATACTCTTATGACTATTGACTGACCTTTTATTTTGTTGACAAATATACGTTGAACTGCTCAAAACACAGATGTGTAGGGAAAAACCCCTCATGTGACTGGTACTTAAACATGCTGAATTCAAATGGGAATTGAAATTAAGTAACCTGACTTTAAGAAACAGGATATAGATCAACAGGGTGCACCAAGTGATTTGAATATTGTAGGTAACTGTTTTTGGTGTATTGAGTGTTTTTTTATTTATTTATTTTTTCCATTATTGTTAAACTGTGTTAACAACTCAATTCAGTTACTAAAATTTGGGTTGTTTAGAAAAAAAAATCATCTTCTAGTTTTTGAGTCTGATTAAAACACACAACTGTGCTCCTATGGCCGAACCTACTGGTCCATCATCATAATAGGTAAATACAGAGATGTTACATTAACTTTCTTCAAATTTAAAGTACAGTTTGAATAAAAAAAAAACTTTACTACCCTTATTTAAAATACTCTCAAACTAGTTAATTTTCATAAATAAGATAAAAAGTGTGAATAGCTTTTATACAGATGAAAAACTATTTAACTTGCAGGTTTTTATGGATTTTTTTTACTAGATTTCCAAAGAAAACCTTTTTAATTTAAAAATGTCCACAGCACTGTACATCTGTTCTCTGTACAGTAATTTCAGTACTTACGGTAAGATAGCAACAGCTGCAGCATCTGGTGGCATCCCACTGTTTTTGGCTGCCAGACTCTGACACAGCTGGTGGACGGCAGCTTTGGCCATGCCATATCCCATCATGCCTAGAGGTAATAGATGAAACTTTATTTTCTTGTCACTTGAAAGATATTCAGTCTGCAATGACTACATTGTTACAACTGGATTGTTGCTTCATGTTACATTTTTGCTAAACATAGCTGTGGAATGGTCTGCAGGGTCTGATTTATTTTATTTTTAATGACAGTCTTGTGGGAGAATGGAAAAAGCTAGTAACACGCCAATTCTTCCTGATGCAAGAAGTGAGTCTACTCTTTCTTCTGGTAGTTTGTGTTTACATGATCATAGAACACAATTTTCTGTGACTCTTGAAAAATCCGTAAAATGCTCTAAAACGCTGGCAGTCAGGGGCTTTCTGTTCAGAACTTGGCTGGCAGTTAATTAGTTAATAAATCTGGTATTTAAGATTTTTCCTACATTAAACACTGCAGATGTAGTGTGAAACCCTCACAATGTAAGGAACCCTAAAGCTACAATTGTAGTGATGTAAAATAAAGATTTTAGGTAGAATTATGCCTTTCCAAGCCGAACACATTTATTTTTTTAAACAAACTAAAACTGTAATTTAAACTGAATAGCTTTTGATTTTCAACATCTGAAAAAGCCAAGTGCCTCGACTCCCAACATTAAAGACAGGAATGCCAGGCGTCTGCTGCCCCTTTTAACCATCTCATGACAGGATTACCACACATGGACCAATAGGAACAAGAGGCGGGGGCAGGAACAGCTTTTCCTTCCCTCCTAACCAAAGAAAAAAATCTGAACCAATTAAAAAAAAAAGTCAACGGTACAGAACATGTGTCTGTTTTCATGCACCAATCTGCTCCATCACCAACAGATTAGTCTACAGGATCAGACACATGACCTTCAGTACCTGCTAGAGCCGTCTGCATCCATCAGTCTTTGCAACATGGCCTAGACTCACTGAAACCCTCTTTTTGATCAACAGCTTGTGTGCATAATGTTAACGGTGAAAAGGCAAACTTCAGACCTTAAAACTAAGATCATTAAAGCACGACTTTACGCAGGGTTCTGATTTTATGTAAACATCAAAGTCCTAACGAGAATCCTGAAAATGAGAAATAAAAATAAAGAATTTCACATAAAATAAAAAACTTAAAGAGAAAGTTTACTTGTGTTTTTAATGCATTTGGAGTGCTCATATTTTAAATGAATGCCTTGTGCGACAATCACTAAGGGAAAAAGCTCTGATGCTCCCGTTTCAGGCACTAGAGGTTAGCCAGAGGAGAGGTAAGCAACAAGACAAGCAGGAGTTGGCTTCTTATTTTACTGAAATGTGAGCCACCAACACCGGCGAACTCTGATGGTGGCTAGAGTCCTTAGCCGAAACATGTTAGGTAAAAAATATTTTTTACTATGCTGTTTAAAAAATAAATAGATTATGGTTGCACACAGAACGAATGAACATAGAAAATCACTTACCCCCAGGACTAGCCATAAGCTATTATTGTAACCTTCAACCACTAAAAACAACATACTGAATATTACATTGATGTTAGGGATGCACGTTTACCAAAATGTCTTTATCCGGCTAACGACGCCTCTTAACAGTTAATAGCCAGTTAACCGGAAACCAAACACCTCCCACCCCCCAACGCACACAAACATTTGCCCCCGCTCTATAATTAACGCTTTTTCCTTCTACTCTTTTTAATATAATTCTGAAACACAAACAAAGTCCCACACTCATTACATTTATGAACAAAAAGTAAAGAGAGAGTGGAATGACAGCTGGAATGCCCATCAGACTCAGAACTTGCTGCGCAGCGGACCGTCTGGCAACAAATATAAAGCACTGCTTGTGATTGCATGCTAATAAGCACATTCTGGAGGCCACGGTAAAAAAATATAGATTAAAAAAAACATTTCTTACATAGAACAAAATAATTACACTTGACATTTCTTTATTTTACTAGACAAATTAGGATTTATACACAAGGAGCTTCCCGGCACACTAGAAGAAAAAGAAAATATCATTTCTATAGCGCCTCTCAAGATAAAAATCACGAGGCGCTTCACAAAAACAAAAAATTTAAAAATATAAAAAAACATTTAGAAAATGTTTAATATATTTAAAATGAGCGAAAATAGGCAATTGTGATTTTTAAAAAATGTTAAGAAAGAGAGTGAATAGGAAAGAGGGAAATCAGTGGATCCTGAGGAAGGTGGAATAGGTGGGGAGAGCAGAATAAAGAGAGAGTGGTGAAGATGGTCATACAAAAGCCAGCTTGAACAAGTGAGTCTTCAGCTGCCTTTTAAAGGAGACCACTGAGTCCACTGATCTCAGGCTCAGGGGGAGAGAGTTCCAGAGTCTGGGGGCCACAGCAGCAAATAATCTGTCACCTTTGGTCTTTAGCCTGGTGCTGCACAACCAGTAGGCTTTGGTCACTGGACCTCAGGGACCTGCTGGGGGTGTAGGGACTAAGAAGATCACCAATGTAAGATGGTGCTTGTCCATGTAAGACCCTATAGACCAGAACCAGGATCTTGAAATGAACCCTGAAGTTCACACTAGGGCTGGGCAATAAATGGAAAATGTATCATTATCGAAATTTCTGACTCTTATCATTTCCCATGTCAATAAATTTGATAATACAAAAATGAAAAGATCTGTGTAGGTTGGCAACGTTCATGTCCCATCAAGAAGCTGTACCACATTGAGTCACGTAAAAATGTGACTCAACGCGATGCATGTGACAGCCCCATCTAGTGGACAACTTTTGTTTCTGCGCATACCAGTAGTTATCGTCCATTTATTGTTACCGAGGAGAAATCCTCAATATATTGTGATATTAATTTTAGGCCATGTCGTCCAGCTCTACGGCACACTGACCTTTTGCTGGTCTCGGTTCAGTTTGCTGCGCCATGTTCTGTCAGGCTCAGCGCTTTGATGTGAGGGTTAGTGTGTTCCAACAGTTAATTAACTAAGAATAAACTGCTCCAACGCTGCATTGCTGTTAACCGCTTCGTGTTTGAGCACATTTGTCTGGTCATGTGATGAGCTCATTTCTTCTTCTGCGGTCACACAGTAAACATTTGATAGTGGCGCTCTTACGCCCTCGGGTTGCACAAAATATATTGTACCCAGTCCAGCAGAAGGAATAGAAGACGGGAAAAACTAGTTTACCTGGTTACAACATTAACGGCAATTAACCCTTTTAACCGGGTAACCACATACATCCCTAATTGATGTTATTGTGTACCAGGATAATGCCAGTACCAGTTAAACTGAGGAGGTATTCACTCTTACTGCAGAGGGGATGAATGATCTATGGTAGCGTTCTGTAAATAGGAGTAGAATGCTATTTTAACGTTTAGCATACATGTTAAAGTCAGAATGACTGATCATTTTGAAAAATAAGTATCAGTGTTTCCCTTACATAGACGTAGCCGTGGCGGCCCGCCACGGCTGAAACCCCAGCGCCACGCCTACAAGATCCCAAGTTTTATTGATTTTGTTATTTATTTTTTTGCGCAGTTTCCCGAAGAAGCAGCGGGAACTACTCTGTTGTTGCTTGTGATCACAGCCAGCAGGCAGTAAGGAGGAGGAGGCAGGGCAGGGTGGTTACAGCTAGGGATGAGTACGGATAAAGCATTTTTGACGAAAACGAGCATGAAACGAGTAATACTTGTAAATATCTGTAATCGTGCTGAAGGAAAATCCTCAATGGGTAACAGACTGTCTTCACACTCTGTGTTCGGCCAGCTGCTCTCAGTCCAGGGTGTACCCTGCCTGACTGCCCATTGACCGCTGGAGTTAGGCACCAGCCCCCCACCCCCCACCCCCACCCTACGTGGACAAGCGGGTTCAGAAAATGGATGGATGGACGGACATTTTCATGCAACAAATATGCTCCAAGCCTTTGCGATTTATTCTAAGACAACTTTAGAACCTGTAAATGGATAGAAAAACACAAGATAAAATGTCTCTGTTAAATCTTTATCTGTTCAAAGCAAAAGGCCCAGACTCTTAATCTCAATAAACAGAGATTGAAGTTGAAGCACGTAATTTACTCAGGATGGTTAAAAGCAGAAAAGTCGTTTATAACTGAAGATGATCATTTGGAGAAATAACCACAAAAACAACTGGTTTCAAACAAGTGAGCAATATTTATGAAAGGATAGTTTACAAAGGGTTCCTCATTAAAAAAAAGAAAAAAAATAGTGATTTCAATGACCAAGATGCCGATATTAAAAACACAAGGTTTGTTTACTTTTGAAATTGTTTTTCCTCTGATATTATTCTTTCCATTCCAATATCCTTTTTCCTGTGGAGATTTCTTTGCCACCCAGTGGGCAAGTCTCCGAACCCGTGTCTCCCTCTCTGTTCAAAGCTAAATTCAAGATGAAAGAGCTGCATATTTTAGAGAATAATCATGATAAATGGAAAAACTCAGAGCGGTCTTCTCTGCCCTTACATTTTCTGTGGGGCTGACCTCCATTTTAAATATTAAATCCAGCCAAAAACAGATAATTCATATAATTTTCAAAATTTACCCAGGCTTGCTTCCCTCTAAATTTTTTTCGGAACTTGTAAAATTGTTTTTTGATGGACAGCTGTGAAAGTTATTTTCTTTAAACCTGTGTCATTTATTAGGTGTATGGTGTTTCAGGATTTATCAGCCTACTCATTCATTCACATTTAATTAGCTAAAAACAGTGAAAGTTAATCAAATTAGCCTTTTAATCTGCCCCCCCCCCCCCCACACACACACACACACACACATACACACACACACACACACACACACACACACACACACACACACACACACAGATTAACTAAGTGTAAGTGGCAATACCTTGTATTTTTCTTTAGTTTTCCATATTAAAATGACAAATTTAAATAAATAGATTCTGACTAAAAGATGCCTCAATCTGTTTCACAGCTTGTGTCCATGTGACCTAAAACTGCTGAGTCATTTTCATCCTGAGCCAGCAGCCAATAAACGACTCAGCTCTGTGTGGACTGCTGATCCACAGATTTGTGTGTTTTAGACCTCAGCCTGTCACATGTCTGCTCTAACCGCATGACCCCAGACTAAAGCTTTAGTGACACCAACACAGAATTACCATGCTCACTTTAAAACAGAATTATCATGCTCACTTTAAAGTTAAATTGAAGAAACAGTCACACAAATAAAAATATTTCAGAAAATCTTAGTCTTGCAAACCAGTTTTCCTTTTGATTTGACCTTTTTTTTTTTGTTAAAGTGCAAGTAACACCTAAATTAAGTTTTTTTTTTGCTGGTAACCTGTATAGATGAGTGTCTAATGGTGCTGTAGACATGTGTACTCATTAGTTTGGCAGTTTAGTGCAACTTAATTTAAATGTAATATTTGAGTCCCAAACCGTAATTACATCTCCATCTTCAGGTTAAAACTCTGCTCCACATTTATGTAGAACCAGTTGTGGCTGATGGCTGAGCTGAAAAACGTGACGTTGTCAGCTAATTACTACGTGGCTGCACTGCACTGGTCTCCAGGTGAGGCAGCCACACCTCCACCTGGCTCAGCCACTTACATGCCGATTGACCCACGCTGGCAGTCCGAGCCACTTGCCTCCTTGAAAAAAATGCCCTCCTCCCCTTTTTCATCTATGATCGCAGTTAACAGGAAATCCTCCAGAATGCTGCAGAATCTGTGCATGCTCTTCTCCTGAGGTAAGTCCACTGTGAGTGTGTGCTTGCGTGCACGTGAGAGTGTGTACGTGCTCGTTAAGAGCTTGTTTTTAGACAGCGAAACTCAGACAGCGCACACGGTGTGTTGACGGGGGTACCGTCTATCACTGCCTCTGTGCCGCTCTCTCTCTCTCTGCCAGGTGACGCTTCTTTTAGAAGTGTTTTCCTAAACGGAAGTGTGGATGAAATAAATCTCCACCCATGCCTTGACTCTCACTTTATAAGAGCATCGTACTACAAAAGAGGATTGAGGCCACTGAAAAAAAACGAAGGCAATTCAATATTTTCCTGAAATGGTTGAGTGCTAGTAAAATAAACATGTTTAAATGGACTATAAGGAAGTTTGACAGCCAAAACATGTATAGAAATAATAAATTTCTTCTTCATACATTCTCCTGCAATGCCCTGGTCTTGTAGAATGAGCCCTGGCATTTTTACTGTGATTGCCTGTTTTTCTGTAAAATCACAGAAAAAAAGAGAGCTGCTCGGGTCGAGCAGGCTGCTTCATGCTCGTTCACGCTCAGGCATAGCCCGTAGCATTTGCTATCCATAGCTTTAAAAAAAAAGGTAAAATGGCCTGTATTTGATATAGCGCCTTCTAGAGTCCTAGAACCCCCCAAGGCGCTTTTACAACACAATCAGTGATTCTCCCATTCACACACACATTCACACACTGGTGGGGATGAGCTACGATGTAGCCACAGCTGCCCTGGGGCGCACTGACAGAGGCGAGGCTGCCGAGAACAGGCGCCACCAGTCCCTCCGACCACCACCAGCAGGCAAGGGGGGTTAAGTGTCTTGCCCAAGGACACAACGACAGCGACAGACTGAGCGGGGCTCGAACCTGCAACCTTGCGATTACGGGGCAAGCACTTAACTCCTGTGCCACCGTCGCCCCACCGTCGTTAGCAGCAGAGAGAGAGGCAGTGCCAACTCAGCGACTTTGTTGCTGTTCCTAACGCCTAGTGACAAACTTAGCTACATTTCTGAGGACCCTTAGCTCCTTTCTGGAGAACTTTCTTCTAGATATTTCCTGCAAATTAGCAAAAAAATTGCCATTTTCGCTCCGAACCATTCTTTGGATTGACGTTGTTTCAGCTGTCATCAAGGATATAAATGTTACAGATACAATGAACGTCACTGGCACTTTAGCTCACCTAGTAAGATGTCTGATTCTCATGTAGAAGACCTGGGTTCATTCCATGTGAGTACATAGTTTATTTGAAATGTCTCTTTTACATTAATGGTATATTTTTTGGTATATTAATGGTATTTTTTACAGAAATAAGACGCCCAAATTTTTATCTGAGACTCGCCGAAAGGCATTGAATTCACAGATAAAAAAGATGTGGGTTCAACTTTCATTTTGGAACAATTTTTCAAGCAAGGGAATGGCATGATCTAAGCATGCAGGAGGACTGACCCATCATAAACCTTTGTTGGCTGTGCTGAAGAGAAAGGTACAGAACCAAATTAATTAATTAATTAGCTACGTGTTCTCCTGTCCTCTGGGCCACACACACACACACACAAACATAACATTCGGCCGGCCGACAAGAAAGTGCAGCTGCAGAGACAGAGGCACATTATTTTTATTAATTTGCTGTGTTCTCCTGTCCTCCTTGCCACACACACACACGGGACTGTGTCAGCTGTTATTTTCGTTAAGGAGTGTGCACGTACAGCATGGCGCCTCGTGCACGAGCCTACTATTGAAGCTGCAGTTACGCTTTTGGCCTGAGGGGGCAATCGCGAGTATAAAAATTCAAAAGTCCGAAAAGTCCCTTTAAATAAAATACTGAATTTAAGTCAGGTTTCTTATGTTCTTTATTGAAAGTAGTTCATTGAGGAATAGCACAAAATGGCCAGCGCTGCCCTTAAAAAATATTTTCAACATTTAAAATGAATAATTTTCAATAATTATCAATACCAATAAACATGCATTATTTTTATCTATATGCTTTTTGTCCATATCGTCCAGGCCTAATCTGTAGGCCAACAGACCTCATCAACTCTTCATGTCTCCTTTGTTTTGTTTCTAGGAATCATCAGAAATACTTTATTGATCCTGGGGGAAATAAATAAATGTCTCCTCTAACTGATGTGTAATTCTGTTGCCTGGTCTAGCCCCCCCATATCTCTGACGTGACGTGACACAGACACACACAAATCAGATCATCAGTGAAATCATGCCTCACCTCCGGTGCCGGACTGGGCGGCTTTCGCTCCAGATAAAGTCAACAGTCCTCCAGATTTTAGGTGCTGAGCAGCAAGGTGGCTGGAGATGGTGGACGTCCACACGCTTTGTTTCCACATCAAATCTGTGTTTTTGTAGAAATCTGAAAAAGATGAGAATTATTTTATAGATATAGAAAAAAACAACATTAACATCCTAGTAAAAATACAGATTTATGGCACAGTCCAACCTCTCACACATCATAAACAGTCACATCTGTTTATATGGGAAATTTTGAATTTGCAGTCTTTTGACAGAAAATCATTAGAAAGTGGAGGCAGTCAATTAAAATGACCCATGTTATTTTACTGGAAAAGGCAGAATTTACAGTCCTGCCAGATATAAATGAAATATGAATGGTTTCTTAGATCGTAATAAAACTTTCAGCAGGCCTGACTTCAAATAAATTCATGGTTATAATTTTCAGAGAACACAGAAATATTTCACCAACTAAACACATTTATCTTAACCGAGACAAACTAAAGAAGTTTTGGCTGATTATTAGTTTAAACAAACAAAAGTGTTAAACTCTGACCTTTGGAACTACAGTTTCCTCCCGCCCAGCCGCCTGCCACACACAAGATAGCATCAACCTTCTGTTCCCCCAGCAACTGGGCCACATCTGCCGTCACCTGCAGAAAAAGAGACAATCACCACTGAGGCTTTTTCTGTGAAGCTGCAGGGCTCCTCCAACAGCAGCTGAATTACTTAAATGTCAGCAACTGCTGGAGACAATCCTTTCAGAAAAACAATTACAAGAGAAGATATTCGGAAACATCTATCACAACAGCCTGTGATAAATACAGTGGTGGTTTTTTTGGGGTTGTTTTTGTTTTGTTTGTTTTTTTGGCAGGGGGGATGATAATCTGGTGACAAATTTGTTATAATTAGTTTTTGTTATATAAAACATCTCGTATATGAACGCAACATTACACCAACCTTGTAAACGTAAATATAAATGTAAAAACTCGATTTAAAATTAATTAAATTGCCAGTACACATTAGATATTAGATTTATATTGAATATTAGACTAGCTTACTGACTGTAACAGCACAACACGGTGCCGTTCTAACACCTGAAACTCACCTGCCCAGCCTGCTCGGTGAAAGAGTCGCACAACTTCACTATCACGTTTTCGTTTGCCTCCTCATTAGCAGCCATATCGATGCTGGCGACCCACTGCCCCACAAACACACAACAACCAGTTAGCATAACATTCAGCCTGTTAGCGTGAGGCTAACGCTAGCCGCACTCACTCACCCATCCTTTGGATTTGAAATACTGAACACACTTGGAGCCCAGAGCGCCTTTCCCACCGTACACGATAACCCGATTAGAAGCCATGCTGATACCCTGCGTGTAACACTCACTCAGCTGAGGATCGGTGGTACAGCTGCAGCTGAGATATATATAGAGAAGAGAAGGGAGGAGAAAAGGAGGTGCAACTCTGAAGAGCAACAAGTCGAAATGCTGCGTTCATGGCAACTCGGAAATGCGAGGTGCAACTGGGATTTGGGCAAAAACGCACAAAACATTCATTTTTAATAATTTCTTTAATATTTGAGTGAGGAGAATTTGTGTTTCCTTGACCATTTTACATTAACTAATCAAGTGTCTAGACTGAGTTACTGTTACATTTTATAGATACAATTTCTAGTTTCAACCAAGGGGCAGTAAGGGGAGAAAAAAGTTTCAAATGATCTGTGTGTGTGTGTCTAGATCTGTGTGTGTGTGTGTGTGTGTGTGTGTGTGTGTGTGTGTGTGTGTGTGTGTGTGTGTGTGTGTGTGTGTGTGTGTGTGTGTGTGTGTGTGTGTGTGTGTGTGTGTGTCTGTGTGTGTAGATTTTTGTGTGCGTAATAATAATAATAATATAATAATACATTTTATTTAAAAGCGCCTTTCAGGACACCCAAGGTCACTTTACACAAAACACGTAATAAAATACAATAAAACAATAATAAAACCCAAAGAAGAAAAAACAGAGAGAAACATTTCAATAAAATCAGAGGTTGTAGGCAGATTTAAACATGTGTGTTTTGAGTTTTGTTTTGAAAAGCGTAAAACTGTCGACGTTCCTGATGTCTGGGGGAAGTGAGTTCCAGAGTCGAGGAGCAGAGCGGCTGAAAGCTCTGCTCCCCATGGTAGCGAGACGGGCAGAAGGAACCGCAAGATGGATGGAAGAAGAAGATCTGAGTGAACGGGACGGGGTGTGAATACTTATAAGGTCTGAGATATATGGAGGAGAGAGGTTGTGGATTGCTTTGAAGGTATGGAGGAGAATTTTGAAGATGGACCTGAATTTAACTGGGAGCCAGTGAAGCTGCTGGAGAACCGGGGTGATGTGGTGAAAGGAAGGGGTTCTGGTGATAATACGGGCTGCTGAATTCTGGACCAGTTGCAGTTTATGAAGGAGTTTGTTGGGGAGACTATAAAGAAGTGAATTGCAATAGTCGATACGGGAGGTGACTAGGCTGTGGACGAGAATGGCGGCAGTGTGAGGGGTCAGTGAGGGACGGAGACGGTTTATGGAACGTAGATGGAAGTATGCTGACCGAATTAAGTTATTAATGTGAGCCTGAAAAGAAAGTGAGCTGTCGAGAATGACACCCAGACTCTTGACGTGAGGTGAGGGGGAGACTGTGGCGCTGTCAATAGTTAAAGAAAAGCTGTCAGATGTTGAGAGGGTGGAGTTAGTGCCAACTAGAAGAAGTTCAGTTTTATTGCCGTTGAGTTTGAGGAAATTAGAGGTGAACCATGATTTGATTTCAGAGAGGCAGAGTGTAAGGGAGGATGGTGGGAGAGTTGAGTTGGGCTTACTGTAAATGTAGAGCTGGGTGTCATCTGCAAAGCAGTGAAACTTGATATTGAATTTGCGGAAGATTTTGCCGATAGGGAGGAGATATACTATGACGAGGAGGGGCCCCAGGACAGAGCCCTGGGGCACACCTGACTTGACTGGGGAGGGTTCTGAGGTAGAGGATTTTAACTGGATGAACTGAGTGCGGCCAGTAAGGTAAGATTGAAACCAGCGGAGGGGGGTGTGAGTGATGCTTAAGGAAGAGAGTCTATTAAGGAGGATGGGATGAGAAATGGTGTCAAAGGCCGCACTCAGATCGAGGAGAATAAGAATAGAGATTAAACCAGAATCAGCAGCAATGAGTAGGTCGTTAGTGATCTTGATGAGAGCTGTTTCTGTGCTGTGGTGGGGACGGAAGCCAGACTGAAACTGTTCATAAAGGTTATTGCGGGTGAGATGTGAATGGAGCTGAGATGCAACAGTTTTCTCTAGGACTTTGGAAATGAAGGGAAGATGGGAAATGGGACGGAGGTTATTGAAATCATTGGGATGTAAACCAGGTTTTTTTAGAATAGGGCTGACTGAAGCAGATTTGAATAGGGATGGGACCGTACCAGAGGATAGTGAGGAATGAATAATGGCTGTTATAAAAGGGAGCAGAGAAGAAAGGCACAATTTAACTAAAACTGTTGGAATAGGGTCCAGTTGACAGGTGGAAGGTTTGGATTTGGTGATGTAATCTAATATTTCTGAGGGATGGGGAAGTTCAAAGGAGGAGAACTGAATGGAGGGTTCAAATAAATCAGGAGAGGGAGGGGAGGAATGAGGTAAAGAGAGATGGATTCTATTGACCTTCTCATTAAAAAACTGAAGGAGAGAGTTACAGGTTTCTGAAGAGTAAAGATGGATGGGTAAGGAGTCGGGAGGCTGAAAAATGCTGTTCATGATGGAAAATAATGTTTTAGTGTTGCTGGAGTTGGACGAGATGAGACCGGAGTAATACTGAGATTTGGCATGGGAGATGGAGTCCTTGTAGAGAGAAATCTGAGCAGAATATAAGTCTTTATGGATGGTGAGACCGGTTTTCTTGTAGAGTCTTTCAAGCCTCCGGTTGATAGCTTTCAAGGAGCGAAGGGCAGTGGTGAACCATGGAGCAGACCGAGTAACTCTTGATTTGTAACTTTTGTTTACATTTTCGTGTGTAACTTCAGTTCTTACACATTGAGTACGCACACAAATCACCTGGTAAACACGGACAAAACTACATTACACACAGATCAGTTTACGAGTACAAAAAATCCTTTTGAGACTCTTCTCACCTGACTGATTTGTGCGTACATGGTGCGTTTGTATGCCAGGTGGAAGCTGGGGAATTCAAATTTCCTTTGGGTTTAGTCTAAACTTGTGTTGACGGGACAAATATGTTTTTCTGTGGAAAAATAGAATATCTCAGGATCCTGTAATTATAAAATTTTAATCATCTAAAATTGTTTATTTGGACATAAATGTTTGTGAGCCATGAAAGCAAAGTGAAAGGGTTATAACAAATGACTAATAAATGACAGAGTGGTTCTCTGACTAGAAAAAAGCAGGGTTCAAAAGGAGAGAGGCACTAGAAGATATAAGACAGAAGTCATAGGGTGCCTAAGTCACACCCATCTACTTTCGGACCCTGGAAGAATGAAAAAATGAATGCAAGTCAATGGTGCTAAAACACTCTTTTCTAATTTCACTTTTGATGTGCCATGGATTTCAAATATGATGTCCGTGAATTTTAGAGAAGCATTTTGATACCAAGAAATCACTTATTTTTGAACGGGGGAAACACAATTTCAGGTTTATTGTCCAGGAGTACAAATGCGCTTCACGAATGTGACGTCATTGAACCAGAAACAGAGAAAAACAGAGGGAAAACGGCTGTAAGTTCAGCAAACTTCAAATCCTTCCCACAGGAGGAAAGAACCACCACAAATCTGGTCATTTGGTAAGTAGCAGCTACACTAGGGGGAGGAGACTCTGTGGTGACGTCATATATGTGACGTGCTGATGTAGTCATACTTATTACAAACTTTTACAAGCTGATAAATCTCAAAGGACGTGATCGACGTAATCGAAACACCCATCATTACTTTTCATTTAAATTGTTAGCAATATTGTGCACACACATAAACTGGCCCAAGAGCCACTTCCTTGTCTGGGGACAGTGTGTCAATCTTTCAGACCTATAAAACATCTGAAATGGTCTAAAATAATAGCTGTCTCATTATAACCTGACTGCAAAGCATGCTGGACTTACATTTGCTTACTTCAGAGGAAAGATAACCAGGACACTGCACCATCTTTCTTGTGCCTTCTCCTGGCTTGAAGCCTGCTTTTTCCAGTCAGAGAATTACTCTGTCATTTATTAGTCATTTCTTTTAAACCTTTGACTATGTTTTCATGGCTCACAAACATATATGTCTAAATAAACAATTTTAGATTATTAAAAATTAAATGTAGGTTTATCTTTTATAACTACAGGATCCTGAGATACTCTATTTTCTACAGAAAAACATATCTGTCCCGTCAACACAAATTTAGACTAAATCCAAAAGAAATTCAAATTCCCCAGCTTCCACCTAGCATTCAAATGCACCATGTACGCACAAATCAGTCATGTGAGAAAAGAGTCTCAAAAGCATTTTTGTACTTGTAAACTTATCTGTGTGTAATATAGTTTTGTCCATGTGTACCAGGTGATTTGTGTGTGTAGGCGCTGAAGTTACACATGAAAATGTAAAAACAAGTTAAAAATCTTTAGTCACACACACACACACACACACACGCATAAACTTGGGTTTCCAGAGCGATGCAGCATAAGGGACACAGGCATATAAAAGTACATCTGGTATTGCGCAATATACACATAATGAATATTACATTGATGTTATTGTGTAACAGGATAACATTCTTAGTGCAGAGGGGATGAATGACCTATGGTATTTAAAGATATTGGCCAGAGGCAAAATTCCTTTGAACAGCATGTGTAAATAAGTATTAAAACCTCAGATGAAAAGGATTTTTGGATTTTCACAGCTGGAATTTAAAGAAAATCTGATGTTATTTACTGGTACGGGAAAAACAGAAACTAGCTTCCGGTCTAATCCCTGGGCAGCTATTTCACAAGGAGATCTGCAGAATCAGCTATAGAACACAACCCCCAACTCTGGTGTTTCTGTGTTAGCGTTATAGCAGAGAATAATGTGTCATCAGCCAGATGTAGCTTCTGAAGCCTCTGCTAGTCAGTCAGATGTTTATTTTTCTGGGATACGGCAACGAGAACGGATATTGGAGTACTTGAATATATAGTTCAACCGAACTCCGACCCGCTAGCTGGATATCACTACTGGAGGTACAGACATGTTTTGGACGATTTGACTCAGAAGACTCGCGACCCGATTTGGACACTATAATAAACAATCAATGATGAAAAAGAGTCTGCTTCTAGACCTGCAGAAGGAGAAAAAAAGAAAAACGGCACACAATACAACAGGAGCAAACAATCACTGTGTCAACCTGATGAAGAAATATAAAATCAACATTGTTTAACTGAACAATCAAACGATAATACATCATAGTGCATTTAGTGCCAACCACAGCCTTAAGACATGTGTTGAACATGCCCAAGTCCATACTTATGAGAGCACCATGTGAGCACCCG